AATTATTTTTTGCATTTTAAAAAATATCTACTAAAAGTTAATATATAACTACATTTTTCATTTATTTTCCCCTCATTTTCGAAGAATTGCCGATTTATTTCCTCTGATCTGATTTTTCATCTATACTAACTTTCATTTGTCCTTGGGCATTTTTTTTATTTATTGTTTTTTTTTTATAATTTTCTTTGCCTTTTTTAAATTGATTCAAAACATATTCATGTTTCAGGACCTCCCGTCGAAGTCGGAGTCACCATGTATGTGCTATCGATCAGCTCGCTGTCTGAAGTTAAAATGGTACACAATAAGCCCAAAAGTACCTTTGTTTAATTAAGAACACAAAAAAAAAGTTTTCAATTAGTTTACTTTAATTTCTTTTTATCTAAGATTAGAGAATTTAGTTTGGAACGTAATATTTTTTCAACTATTTGCGTATGCATTTCTAACACTTTCCTTTAGACATTTTTTCTGTTTTTTTAATAATTGAATTAATTGCTTATAGTTGGTATGGATTACGAAATTTTTTCAAATCTACTTATTTAATTTTCGTTAGTTGTGCAAAATTTTACATTTCACTATTTTGTTGATTTGTTTTGCAAAAAAAAAAAAAACAAATATTTGTGCGCTGTACCTTTGCATTTAAAAATATTTTTTATTTATTTATTTTTTATTGCCGTTTTGGTCTCTTGTTCTCTACCTATGAGTCTACATAGTTTTGTTGTGCTAGTGTTTGCTCTACTTAAGTCAAAGAAAAAGCTAATGTTTCCTTTTGTTGTTGCTGCGAATTTTGTTCCTAGTTTATGTTTTACTGTTTTTTACGTCTTTTTTTTTGTGTAGAGAAGAACTAAAATGTACTCAGAACTTAAAAGTACTCGAAACTACTCAGTACTCAGGATCGATTAACAGTACTCAGTACAAAGTGTCGAAGAGATATTTAAAATACCGAGTTCTATTTAAATTTACTGGTATTTAGAAACGATTGTATTCAATTTGCCACAGAAACCCAAAGTTGTTTTTTTCTACCGTACACCCCCTCATTTTATTGGGTTTGACTTAAAAACTTTACAAATAAAATTTTATGCAGTTCCGACCAAAGCAACCCCTTGCCGACTTGCAGTCAAAGTTATCAGAATAATCTTTGTGCAGTTGGCGTGTTTTTTAACTTACTCACTTTACTCCTATATAAGGCGGTATTACTATACTCCCTACCAGGGACCGAACATAACAGTTATTGATGAAAACTGTCATTGAAAAATTCGCTATGAAGGATACGTTCCTACAACTAAGTGATACATACCAATCGATTATTTTTCACCGAGAATCAAATTTGAAAATACATTTTTATTTGTAATTTTTATGCAAAATTAATAAAAGTTACAATTATTTTTGATTTTTATTTTATAAATGCAAAATAACAATTATTTTTGATTTTTGTCTAAATAACAGTTATGTTTGATTTTTATACTATATGTCGTAGAAAATAGTTATCAAAGACTTTTGTATATAAAAGTCATTAATATAAATCAGTCAGCGACTTTTATTTTTAAGTCATACGTATAAAAGTCATTCTAATTTTGCGCTGTTAAGAAGAAAATTTACAACGACTTTTACAAATGACTTTTATAAGTATGGTTTAACGAATAAAAGTCACTGACTGATTTTTATGAAGTCTTCAACAGCTGTTATTTAAGCCATTTATTTTAAAAATCAAAAATAACTTTTATTTTTAGATTGTTTAGACAAAAGTAAAAAATAATTGTTATTGTGGATTTATTAAATAAAAAAAACAGAAATAGGTGTTATTTAAGGAGTAATTAAATAAAAGTAAAAAAATAACTATTCAATAGCGATTTTTTTTAATAAAAGTTTTAACTGTTATAATCCCTGCTCCCTTCATAATATTTAGTAAGTCTGCCTTTTTGGTTTTTTACCAGATAATTAGGATTTTTTCCAACGGACAATATATTATAATATTTTTTCAAAAGTTTACTCAATATGTGGATATATGGGTATCAATAAAAAAAAAAAAATTTAAAAAAAAATATTAATTCTAACTTTTGTTTTCAATTATCCTTTTGGAACATGTGAAAAATTTCCTTAAAAATATTATCCTGCAAGATTTTTAATTTTGAATGCATTTTGAAGAATCTGAATTTAATTAAAATCCTATAAATATATATAAAAATATTGGAAGGATAAAAGTTGCAAAGGATATTTTCCTTTATATAATTTTTTTGATTTTTCCTGCCATCATATTAAAAATTTAAAGATGCAGATTTACTAGAAATGTGTTCAATTTGTAAAACATATCGAATTTTTCGTGTTTCCAAAGTTTTCATGGATGTTTAATAGAAGTTACTAACTAAAACTCCAACTAATAGTCGGCACGCGTTATCGTTATCCTACGGCCAAAAGACTTCATGCTAAAAAGCACAAATATCGAGGGTATTCATATAAAAATTTTCAAACAAATTTTTTTTTCATATACATATGGGCAATTCTCAGAAACTTCGAATTTTTCTGTGATTATTATTTTTTTTTAATCGCGAGCACATGTCTGAAATTTTTAGTGAACTGAGCAATCATATTGTCGTCTATTTCTACTACTTAAGTATTGCTTATTTTTGGCCTCACTTTTCCAATGCAGAGATTTTATCAGACTTTTAAAGTTTAGTAGCTTCAATAACTTCACAAAATAATATATAAAAGCTATTCTAGAAAGCTTGCAGTAATGAGGGAACGCTAGGAGGCAATAATTTAGAAAGCATTGAAGTTGCTCAGCCAGTTGGTTTATATAAGTAAAGTTATGATGCAGTTTTAAAAAGCCTTCGTTTCTTTTTTCACAAACATTTTTAATCAATATTTATTATCTGCTACTCTTAGACGTCTTGGGATTTTTAGATAAAAAAATAGTAGAATTTTTGCTTTCAATTTCTTGAACTTTTTTCATTCTCCTTATTTTTCAATATACGAAGCGAAATGCAGTTGAAAAAATTTCGCTTATTTTAGTTATTTAGGGGAATGAAGAGTTTGTGTTCTATTTTTTTTTTTGTTGTTTAAAACTTTAAGGAATCATAACATTCGTAGCCTCAAAGTGTGTCTGTTGTTAGCTTACCTGTTCATGAAACCCATCAATGCAATACACCCAGCAGCCTACACCACACAATAACAACGCCACAAAATAGAATTGATTGTTGTTGAAAAAAAAACCAAACACCAAAATTTTAAATGTTCACGGCATTGGCACGGATACAAAACACCTAACTGTGAACAACACAAATGTAACTCGTCTAACACAGCATTTCGTACAGCAACTGCGATTGTGCTAAAAATCATTTTCTTCACTATTTTCTACATACATACATACACACATGCATAACTTTGTATTTTTTCATGGTAATCTAAATTTTCTTCTTATTTTCGTGCTTTGGTTGAATGTTGAATTTGCTTAATTATCATCATCTTACTTTCCTCAAACTCAAAAATTACAAAAACATACATATGTATATGCTTCTATGAAGGTGACGCATTTTGAAAGAAAAATAAAAAATGAATAAATTAAGTAAAGGTATAAAAATATGGCGTAAAAATTAAGATCTAAGTAATTTAAAAAAAAAAAATTGGGAAATTATTTCCCATTACCCAAAATGTCTTTTATAAAACAAGTAAGAAGAGAATTTAGATTGATTTGGTTTTCATTCGACACATTGTAATTTGTATGGCAAATTTTCGTGTTTTAGATACGCTGCATAGTATGCAATGAGGAAACTACATATATAAATTTTAGGTTTTCACTTATTTTTTTTTGGAACAGCCACGGCCGTATGCTACTTGCTGGAGTCAGTTGTGTACAGTGAAAGCGCAAACAGTGGACGTTGCGTATGAAATACGCCGCCGGTGGTAGAACAAACGCCTGCGAAAAATGTTAAGCTGACTTTCATTTATGAACACTAGAGTGCCTCACTAGAAAAATTTGAGGGTTTTCCACGGGAATAATAAAATTAAGTACCTTCTAAGACTTCCGGCAAAAAATTTTGGAAAAACTAGACCGATTTGAAAATACCCCAAAAAATTTGATTAATTGGATGCCCTTGATAAAACCTTGATATAGTATTATGCATTCTTTTAGACTTGATGTTATTTTATGGAAAAAAAAATTTTTTCAAAATTAATTTTATTTAGGAAAACTTGATTTCGGTCCGGCTTACGTTGATACAATTTTTAAACAGCGCTATGCATACTTTCCATTCATTTGATGCTATTTTTTGAAAAAAAAAAAATAAAAAAAAGTTTTAATTATAAAAACTCGATTTTTGGAGTTCTTTCCAAATCGGTCCAACTTTCGTAAATATTAATATTTTTTCGGACATATTTAGTTTTCCCATATTAAAAAAACACATTTTTTTTTGTATGTAGAGTGATGCACCCTAATGTACGTAGGTAAATACGAAAGCAACTTTTTGTTTTCATTTATCGACTGTTTTCGCTTTCAAGGTCTGCTGCTCCTCGCCGCCTTGGCAATGGCAACAGTTGCTGTGGAATTATTTTTATTTTATATAACTTTCATCCAAGCAAGCGTCAACGCTGCTTTGTTCACAAAAACAAAAAAAAAACAAAAATCCTGGTGAAACGTGAGAATTTTAACTTTAAGATTTTTATATTTTTTACATTTTTATCTTATCAAATACTAAACCCCATCTCCCTTATCATAAGTTAAATTAAAACCATACCCTAACTCACCGCCACTAACCACAAAAGTAAATTAAAAGCAACAAAGTATGCAAAAATTATCCCAAAAATGCAAACTACTTTTTTTGTTCTGCCATAATCACAATGTATCGTATTTCATTAAAACTTATGTAACAATACAAATTTTATATAACAGCAAATAAAGCAAAACAAAATTTAAATTAAACAGCAAAAAAAAACATTTTACTACTGTATGTGTTGCAATTACAACAAAAAAACGTGTGTGTGTATGTTCCAGGTCCCCCTGTGGAGGTTGGCGTCACAATGTATGTCCTCAGTATCAGTTCGGTTTCGGAAGTTCTCATGGTACATATCGCAAAATAAACTTAATACTCGTACATGCAAATATATATATACATATAAATACGTACATACATACAAACTTTGCTAGCCGACAGCGCAAGCAAGCAAGCGTAATAAACAGAACCAGAACAACATACTTATACTTTTGCATATATATAAATAACCGAGATACATACATACAATAACAGTTTTAAATGTCGATTTGGTATTATTTCTTTAAACAGCGAATTTTTTTGGTTAAAATT